CGATCTGAACCCGAATGGTGTTTCGTTATTGGACTTCTGTGCTTGCCACGGTTTGGCCATAACGAACACTATGTTTGAACATAAGGTGGCTCATAAGTGTACCTGGTACCAGAACACCTTAGGCCGGAGATAAATGATCGACTTTGTAATCGTATCATTTGATTTGCGGCCGTATGTCTTCGACACTCGGGTGAAGAGAGGAGCAGAGCTGTCAACTGATCACCACCTGGTGGTGAGTTGGATCAAATGGCAGGGGAACCGGTTGGAAAGACCCGGCAAACCCAAATGTGTAGTGAGGGTAAACTTGGAACATCTGGCGGAGGACCCTGTCTGGGAGGTCTTTAACTCCCACCTCCGGAAGAACTTCTCACACATCCCGAGGGAGGTTGGGGACACGGAATCCGAGTGGACCATGTTCAAAGCCTCTATTGTGGACGCTAGGAGCTGTGGCCGGAAAGTCATCGGTGCCTGTCATGGCGGCAACCCGAGAACTCGGTGGTGGACACCGGAGGTGAGGGAAGCCGTCAAGCTGAAGAAAGAGACCTTCAAGGCCTGGTTGGCCCAGGGGTCTCCTGAAGCAGCTGACAGGTACCGGCAGGCTAGAAGGGCTGCAGCTGCGGTGGTCGCGAATGCTAAAACTCGGGCATGGGAGGAGTTCGGGGAGGCTATGGAGAAGGACTTTCGGTTGGCTTCAAGGAGGTTCTGGCAAACCATCCGACGGTTTAGGAAGGGAAAGCAGGGCTTACCCCAGGCTGTTCTCAGCAGGGGGGGAACTGCTAACCCGGACGGAGGACATCGTCGGGCAGTGGAAAGAACACTTTGAGGAACTCCTAAACCTGACCAACATGTCCTCTGCAGAGGAGGCAGCGCCTGAGGACCTACGGGGAGGCTCACCCATATCCCTGGCAGAGGTCGCTGAGGTAGTTAAAAAGCTCCTTGGTGGCAAGGCGCCGGGGGTGGATGAGATCCGCCCTGAGATGCTGAAGGCGCTGGACATAGTTGGGCTGTCCTGGCTGACACGCCTCTTCAATGACGCATGGGGGTCGGGATCAGTGCCCATGGAATGGCAGACCGGGGTGGTGGTTCCCATCTTCAAAAAGGGGGACCGGAGAGTGTGCTCGAATTACTGGGGTATCACACTACTCAGCCTCCCGGGGAAGGCTTATGCCAGGGTGCTGGAAAGGAGGCTCCGACCACTTGTCGAACCTCAGATTCAAGAGGAGCAGTGCAGATTCCGTCCCGGCCATGGAACAGTGGACCAGCTCTTTACCCTCGCAAGACTACTGGAGGGGCTCTGGGAGTTTGCCCAACCAGTCTACATGTGCTTTGTGGACTTGGAGAAGGCTTTCGACCGGGTCCCTCGGGGGGTCTTGTGGGGGGTGCTGCGGGAGTATGGGGTCCCGGACCCGTTACAACGGGCGATCCGGTCTCTGTACGACTGCAGTAGGAGCTGTGTCCACATTCTCGGCAATAAGTCAGACACGTTCCCGGTGGGTGTTGGCCTCCGCCAGGGCTGCCCTTTTGTCACTGGTCCTGTTCGTGATTTTCATGGACAGGATATCTAGGCGCAGCCTGGGGGCGGAGAACGTCAGTTTCGGGGGTCTCGGGATCGCCTCTCTGCTATTTGCAGATGATGTGGTCCTGTTAGCCTCCTCGGATCATGACCTCCAGCATTCACTGGGGTGGTTTGCAGCCGAGTGTGAAGCGACGGGGATGAGAGTTAGCGCCTCCAAATCTGAGGCCATGGTTCTCTGCCGGAAACCGGTGGATTGCTCCCTCCAGGTGGGGACGGAGTGCCTACCTCAAGCGAAGGAGTTTAAGTATCTCGGGGTCTTGTTCTCGAGTGAGGGTAAGATGGAGCGGGAGATCGACAGGCGGATCGGTGCGGCTGCAGCAGTAAAGCAGGCGCTGCACCGGACCATCTTGGTGAAGAGGGAGCTGAGCCGGAAGGCAAAGCTCTCAATTTACCACTCGGTCTACGTTCCTACCCTCACTTATGGTCACGAACTCTGGGTCGTGACCGAAAGGACAAGGTCGTGGCTACAAGCGGCCAAAATGAGTTTCCTCCGTAGGGTGGCCGGGCTCAGCCTTAGAGATTGGGTAAGGAGCTAGGTCATCAGGAGGGAACTTGGAGTCGAGCCGCTACTCCTTCGCGTCGAAAGGAGTCAGCTGAGGTGGTTCAGGCATCTAATTAGGATGCCTCCTGGACGCCTCCCACTGGAGGTTTTCCAGGCACGTCCAACTGGGAAGAGACCCCGGGGAAGACCCAGAACACGCTGGAGAGATTACATCTCCCAGCTGGCCTGGGAACGCCTCGGGATCCCCCAGAATGAGCTGGAACATGTTGCCGGTGAGAGGGAGGTCTGGGTCGGCCTGCTTGGCCTGCTGCCACCGCGACCCGACCCCGGATAAGCGGTGGAAAATGGATGGATGGATGGATGGATAATCAGTTTCCTGAATTGCCATATGTTTACAGATAGCTGTAAGGATGGTTATTTTGCAAACACCTTATGTAATGTTCCCTTTTTTTCTTCATTATCCAGACAGACTGACACCATAAACAGATACAAAAGCTAGGCCTGTCAGACAGCAAAACAAAACAAAAAAACAAATAATTAACAATAAAAATAATTTAAAAAAACAGCTGAATACAATTAAAATTTTAATAATAATTTTAAAAATAATTAAAATTAAAAAAACATTCATCACCTAACTTAAAGGCAGCTACAAAAGCCCTCCCACATTAATTATCTTTCACATGTACCTCCAAATACACATATGTACATGCCCATATACCTACATATCCATATACACACAAATCCCATTCGCAAGTACTCCACACCTCCTCTAGGATCAATCTGTAATAAAAGCCATCAGATTTCCCCATGCTTGGTCAGTTCTGCTTGGAATGTTCTTTACCCTGACAATCATATTTTCAAATGCAGCCGTTTCTGTCATGAGTTTGAGCCATTCTGTGAACGCGGCTGTATGTGGGCTCTTCCAGTTTTGCAGAATAAGCCTTGCTGCCACAATGAAACCAGTTAATGACAGCCTACTCTCTGCTTTGGTAAGGCCTGGTGGCACAAGTGATTTGTCTCCGAGTAGACATAATTGTGGGGATTCTGGTAATGTTTCCTTCTTTCAGAAGACATGTATGCTGAAAGCAAGACACATTACTTATAAAGTCTTATTACTTATAAACTCTTATGATGACTAAAAAGCAATGTGACAAGAGCATCTTTGTGCCTTTAGGTGGATGAAAGTTGTAGCAAGAACATCATAAAAGGTCCTTCGGATCCGTCCTATGACACAATGTGAAACCACATAAACCACAAGCACCATTGACTTTGATTTAAACGTAAAAAATGACAAGTACAGAGGGCAAATTCTGCGTTTGTTTTCCTTAGGATACAATGTGCAAACGCTGAGGCAGAAGCTTGGTTTTATACCGTCATTTTGGTATTTTATGGAAAAACACATAATTCTCATAAAGTGAAATTATTACAAAACACAGCCAAACAATTGTATGGCCTTATTATAAATACAAATCTACTACCATAAAGATTCCTAAGACTCCAAGAGATGTCTACAAATTTAAATACAGGACACAAACATCAACAATTCCGTTCTCTACACGTTCCCTACACAAACATATGCTTGTACAGAAAGGTCATCTCGAGGCTGAACAAAGAGTGCTGCTAGACTGGTTTCTTTTGGCGATCAAAATCCCCACCAGGACTTTTTCTAGACACAGCCCCGGTCAGTAGCAGCTGACCGTGGGAGGGGATTTACTGATTTACTGTCAGTAGTCACAGTTGTGTTGTGTCGCCAGCACATTATGAAATTACATTAATGACAGTACTGTATGTAGAAAGTGGCAGTGGTAAAGTCTCGGGAACAATACTTTTAAGGTAATGGCACCCACAATGTTAAATAGGGCTGGTTTGGTTGGAAACATAGCGTAGATAAAACAGTATTCATTTAATAAAAGAAGCCAAAGTTAAAAAAATACTCAATGTTGTCTACACAGTACAAGACCTTTACCTACATGGAATAAAATACTTGTAACTCGTAATAACTTTGAGATTGAACATTGATTCTTGACCTGGGAAACATCGGTTGACAAAACAAGCTCACCACAGGGTACCCTGATAACCAGACATAATTGCCATTTCATTTCACTTCATTCATTCAGTCTGACGTTGTTCTCATAGCAAGCCAATTTCTTGTTGGGAGGAGAGGTTATTTTGTTTTGACCTGGCGTACTGTTCCCGCCGACATCATTGTCAATTGACAGAGGCTTGCCGTGATGATTGCTAGGAACAGTTACAGCTAGGAGGTTTCTTGAACTTCAATGTCCTTCAAGTGAAATGTGAGGGTAAAATTAGGGTTTATTCTGTTAAAATTATGTGATTAACAACTACTGACAACTCGATTGACTGCATACGTTGCCGCTTGTTTTGAGTTTAAGTGAAGTGTGTTTTACAACTTTTCTGGGTGTCCAGAGGAGGGGGTTAGACAAATGTATTAATTCACACCTTACAGCAGTGGCGGAGGTCGACTGAGTGCACCCTTCTAGTTCATTATTCATTAATTTAAACGTGTGTGATGCGTATGATGCTAAGTGACATAGCATCACACGCCGGCAACTTTGGGAAACAGTCCCGAAAGGATGATGGGTTTGAATACAAAAGTTCTTTGCGATGTGACATAGCATCACACGGAAAGTATCACAACGGGAAAAAAGGGGGCAAAAATTAGCATGTCCATCCGGGTGACATGTTTCCATCGTAGACAATGAATACCCCTGACTACTGCAGAGTCATTTGTCGCGGGAATTAATGCCGATTGTAACCGTTCCTACTGAAGACGAAAGACAGATGTTAGCGTTAGCATTTTCTGTTACTGTACAAACCATAGCCTAAACTAAACAGTACTCGACTTGCTACAAACATGAGGTTTGATACCCAGCCTCAAGACAAAGCTGTGAATTCCTCAAACTATCTGTGGCTCTGCATGTGACAGTTGAAATATGACCTCTTGGAAAAGCTACAGCTGCACTCCTGGCACTGATAAGGTTTCTGTCCTTTATGTTTCCTCATGTGAACCACCAGGTTGCCTTTCTGTGTGAATGATTTGTGACATTCTTGGCACTGGTATGGTCTCTCTCCTGTGTGTATCCTCGTGTGATTGACCAGGTCTGACTTCTGACAAGTTCCTCCCACAAAACTGGCATTGGTACGGTTTGTCCTCTGTGTGGATCCGTAAGTGTCTTATTAAAGTCTTGGTCAAGGAGAAACATTTGGCGCAACAAGGACACTTGAAGGGTTGCTGCGCCGTTCCTGCTTGAAACTGAACGATGAGCTCGGTGGGTTTCCCTGAAGGTCTTCTCGGCAGGACATTTTCCACGTTGAGACGTTTAGGCTCGGTCTCCCTTTCACCCTGTTCACTTGGGTGCACTGAAAGGAGCAACTCGTCATCTGTGGCACCGTCTAACACTCCGCTATCAGCTCCAGCTGGCTCGGTTTTAATGGGGTCAACTGGAACTGCAGCTGAGGGATCATTATTTATATTAGTAACAGTCTGGATTTGGTATAGACACAGTGGCTGTGGAGACACCTGATGAAACTCACTTTTATCATAGGGAGTGATAGTAAGTGGAAATGTCTTATTGCCAGATTCATCCTGTCTGCAGTCCATCTCTTTTTCAATCCTACTGGCAAGTGTCACTGATCTGAAGTGAGTTTCTGCCTCCACCATTGCACTAAAACGCTGATACAGTTTCTCCTCAGCGTGTTTTTGACTGTGAATAAGCAGACTATCCCTCTCGTCAAGGCTTTTCTCACAGTCTGGCCACTTGTATGGTTTGGCGCCTTTGTGTGTTCTGTTGTGAACGATGAATTCAGACTTGTGGCAGAAGCAGCGGTCGCAGAACTGGCACCGGTAAAGCAGCAAATTGTCCTCTGGATGCTTTTTGATGTGTTGCACCATCGTCTTTTTGGAAGAAAAACTGCTCAAGCAAACGGGACATTCGAACGGTTTCTTCACCTCTGGGATTTTCAAAGGCGTGTTGGGGTCACACTCCTGCTTCACGTCGTCATCTTCAATATCGATCAGTATCTCCGGATCGTTTTCACTGGCAGGAGAGGAGTCAGGACCAGTGTTGTTTGTGTTGGGACGGTCCTCTGTTGGCTCTGGCGTGGCGTTTCCTGGCTCCTCCCAGCACACACTGACGTTCACGCTAGCAGCGGGCTGCTGCTGACCGCACTGCGACGTCACATCTGTGGAGAGAGTTTGAAGCAAAGGAGTAAACAACATTTATTACACAGGCAGGTGGTCTCTACTCCAAAGTACTAGTTTATACTAGTGTGAATTATTTTATAATTTTACTCCTAGGTAGCTCCACAAACATTAATATTGCAGTGCTCCCTTAATAATAGTTCACCCAAATACATTCGCCAAATTCCACATTTTTTGTGTGTTCATTATTTATATTTTTCAAAAGTCTGCGCAAAATGCAGTAAAATGTGTAGAGCATCTGACAGACAAAGACCGGAAAATGGACGTCTCTAATCCAAAGTTAGCTTGTGAAGACAATGCTGTTTGCAGACACCAGTGTCCCGCCCACCCCAAGTGAATCATCGACCATTGGAAAATAATTCTAGTGCTTAAAATAACAATGACCTCTGGACCTCTATCGTGGACGTCGGCCCTTCAAACATTAATCCACGTTTGGATTTCCTCCTGATAAACTGACCTTCGCCGTGTGACTTGGCAACATCCAGCAGTCTGCGGTTGCTGTCCACCACCCACGTCGAACAGGACATTTCATTTTCGTATTCTACGATGGTTTTTTCTACAATTCCGAAGATCTCCTCGGCAGCCGCGGACAAGCGCTCGCTGACAAGTGCTCTCAGCAGCTCCATCTTTACCGTCCTTACCATGCTGACAGGTTCTCCACAGCGAGAGTTGTGGTGGGGCTCGAGTGTTTGCGAAGCGGACATGAGCCCTCGAGCCCACTCGGTGCTCCTTATCGCTCCACCTGAACTTTCTGCGTCCTCAGATCCCACCTTGCTCTGCTCATATCTGCAAACACAGACAAGACAGCAGAAAAGTTATTTCACCAGCAACGATTTTGATAATACAGCAAAGTTGCTAAAAAATGATGTGGTTTTATCTTCTCAATTGTACTTGCTTTTGCTGGTTTTGTTAGTTTTCTGTGACAGTAAAATGAATACCTTTGGGTTTTGGACGGTGTTACAACCCTGAGATCGAATGAACATTTTATCTATGAATGTGTGAACGGCTCTAATGTTCTCTGTGTATGTGTTGTTGAGGATCTCTTCTCTTTCTGCTGTGGTTTCCTGTGTGTGAAGGGCTACAGGTGAGCTTGGCTTTGCATAATTGATCGTACGAGTGTGTAGGTTGTTCCAGGGAGCGGATTGGTTCCAGCCTCCAAGAAAATCCTTTTCTCAATTAGGATTTAGGTTAGTGGCTTCTTGTGTGTTGTTTTATTTGCATAATTTTGCATTTGTTTAATGTTTTGCTGGTACCCCACCCTGAAGCTAAAGGTCTTAAATAAACTTCTACGGGCTGCAAAAACCTTGTTTGCTGGTGGGAGCTGGGAAGAAAAGGAGTCATCTTTCATGTTGCACCAGAGTTTACCCAGTCCGGATCCTCACAGATCGTCACTCAGATGTAACGGGTAATGGAGATGGGCCTTTTTTCACTATGTTCTCACATTTTATAGACCACACAATTAATGGGAGAAAGTAAAACCCCTACACTTTGTAGTTGATGTGCTGGATTGGATTAGTTTGCGTTTTGCCATGTGCCAATGAGTAATACAATAATTCAGATGAGTGGGATTGTGGTTAAAAGTCAAGAATGATCTGTTCCATTTGCATGAATAGCAAATAGCAAACCACCTTATAACCACATGATGGCGCCACAGTTATTATTCGTTTCTAAGGCTGTAACTATGTACGTATAAAACCGTTCGGTACGAGGCTTACAATATGTTTGAATAGTACTAGAGCATTTGGAAAATGCAGAAGCTTATATTCAGGAAAATATAATGTTTACTGCGCTCATGGAGGACAGTGGTTCTCAGCTGGTCTGGCTGAGGGACCCACCATCATTCCTTAGTCACGGCCCAAAGAGATCGTCTTATGATTTTACTTTCACAATTCGAACATTGTACATACTACTCTGCAATGTCTTTCCTCGTCTCAGCCCCCTGTGTCATGGTGTGTGATACATCTCACTCAAGTCAGAATGCCCATATTTGATTGGCTGAGCTGCATCACGTGATGTGATTCACTACCCGACTAAGCCTCTGCTGTTAAGTTTCGTTTCACGATAGTCACGTGCTCGCCCACCTCGCGGCAGAGCTGCACATGGACACTGAGCTGCACGTAATGCTGATGTCATTATAGGCCGGCTAGCAGGCTCAGATACGTCAAGGAATACCCCCAACATTTCAAACTAAAGATCTGATTGGTTGAAGAATATGACAATCAACAATATCGTCCCCATTCACTTAAACTGCACATGGATGCACTTGAGAGACTGCAGGCCTGTGGCCTCTGTTCTTACCTGGAGACACAACAAGCTGAACAAGCTGCACTGGAAGCAGAGCAACTGAGGAAGACAGTAGCTGTGCAATGAGAAAATAAGATAATGGGAAAAATATTTTTACAAATTATAATACATGTCGTGTATTTAAAAAAAATTATTAAATTATAAAATAGATATAACTTTGTGATTCTGTTTAGGCCAGCAGAGAAGGCCTTGCAGGCCCTGATGGCCCACCACTGCAAATGACTATTCTACACGACTAGAGCGTTAGTATGTGAAATCCAAAATAAGAAGCTGATTCAGTTATTTTTGTGGACTATAATCCTGAATGCTGCTGGTTTTATTTATTATTAAAACAGTGACTGAATAATAAAGAAGTTTCCAAAAAATAATCTGTTGAAAAATATTCGTGAAAAAGACAATATATACAGAGATTAACTAAATCTACTGTAGATTAAGATTTGCAGGGGGAAAATTGTCAATGTTTTCAGGCTGAGTAAAATTTCATAAAATACTTTGAAAATACAAAATAATTGTAAAAAGTAACACAACCTGCACAAACATGTCTGTCTCCATCTTCTGTCAACCATAATTAACCTACAGGTACACTGCTGTGCTCACCCTGCTTGCAGTGTCACTCTTCTTTTCGGCCGCTGATGAATACGCGCTGTTAGCTCTCTCCGTGGAGAGTTAGCATTAGCTCACTGAGCTACCAGTTCATCCAAAAAACAGCAAACTGCTAGCCGGAGAACACAAGCTGTACCCGGTTATCTTGTTAGTTAAGGTGCAGCCAGGTTTTCAAAGCATTAAAAACTCTACAGCTTACTAGCCAGCTCTACGTTGTGAGGTGTCCAAGGTTAAATTGACTTCTTATGATGCTAAAAATATAGCGTTAGCTCGCAGTGGCTCCATCTTCTTCTTCTTCCTCGGTGGCCATCATTCCTTGCACCAATAACATTACCACCATCTGCTATTCAACGCCAGCATCCCTTTTTGTGTCCGTGCAGAATCCTTATCAGCAGGTATGCCAACACTGCACATTTAAATAATGTATTAATGCCATAAAAACACAGGATGGTTATAAATGCTCTCTTTCCACATGGTGGTAGCAACACTGTCTGATACCATTGATGCTAAACCAAGGGCCACATTGTACCCCCAGGGTGTAGGCCTACTTCTGCAGCATTAACACCTGATTAGTTAGCCAGAGAAAAATGGAATATGATTGAAATAGATAAAGGTACGAGTAAGTTATTGAAATAGTTAGCAAAAAGCAATAAAACAGTTGAAATAGTTAGCTAAAAGTAATGAATAAAGAGTTGCTAGTTAGCTAAAAGTAATGAATAAAGAGTTACTAGTTAGCTATAAGTAATGAATAAAGAGTTGAAATAGTTAGCTAAATGTAATAAATAAAGAGTTGCTAGTTAGCTAAAAGTAATGAATAAAGAGTTGCTAGTTACCTAAAAGTAATGTATAAAGACTTGCTAGTTAGGTAAAAGTAATAGATAAATTGCTGAAACAGCATTTACATAAACATTGACAGTTCATTTGTATGACAAGTTATGCTGCATTCACACCAAACGCGTCCCGAATTATTCGCGCGAGTAGATTACATACAAAGTCTATGCACAGACGCGATGAGACTGTCGCAGCGTGAATCTGCTATGGCGCGTCGCGATGGACGGGAATTTGCGGCGCGATGGACACGATAGACCCGAATGGACGCGTTTGGTGTGAACGCAGCATTATAATGCTGCGTTCACATAAACGCGTCGCGAATTCATCGCGCCGCATATTCGCGTCCATCGCGCCGCCGGTCAAAACGCCGGGGACCAAGTGTTCTTTGGCGCGAATCGCGCTGGACGCGCCGGAGAGGGGGCGGGGCTTATCGCCCTGAAAGCCGTTCAACTCTCCGCCATTAACCATGGAAAAATTAACCTCTATTTCTGCTTAGTATGTGTTGTGGAAGTCACAGATATCCCGGGAAACTAAACGGCGTCATGTCTGGCTTCATAATATTGTCCAGAGGAGCTCCATGGATTTTATCGAGCTGTATTCACTGTGTCTAGCAAGCCACACAAGTCGCTGTTTACTACAGCTGTACACACACACATTTATACACATAGTTTGGTCCGGTCTCTATTGATATGAGGTATCGTAGAGTTCTGGGTGAACACAGACGGCTACAGTATTTATTTCCTGATTCAACAATGGCAGGACGTCACTGATAACAGGGGGAGCAACTCAACGTTACAATCTCGCCAAATAGTATGTGTTTTTTAAATAAATTATTAAACCACTAGGTCCACCATCACATCTTATCGTCTCTCGTGTGTGATGGTAAAACGCATGATTTAGACCCATGGCTCCAATTGTCAGAAGGTTGTTCTGTGATGACTTTGTTGACTGTAGCTCCATAGTGCCAATGTGCACTCAAGTCCATGTAGCTGTGTTGTACACTAGATGGCGGCATCGACCTTCCATAGATTCTGTCCTGAGCAGCATTCTCACACATATCTCAAGCTTCTGAGATTACTCTGTGCACCGCATAACATTTAACTGGTAAATCGACAGGTTGTTTAAACCCCGATGTAACAGAGTAACACCAGTGTTCAGGGCTATAATGTTCAATAGCAATAATTAGTAGAAAATAGCAGGAAAATAACCAGTAGAAAAGCCAGGAATGAAATAAGTCTGGTGGTTTATTTTACAGCCCATGTGCCTGTGAGCACTGAGCTACTGTGCAATCAGGAGTAATACGAGTGATTTGTGAAGTGGAGAACAGTGGTCCAATGTGGCAGGCCAGCCTGCCCGTTCCTGTTGTTGTGGGGTGGGAGTTTCCAGCTATACAGTCGAAGGGAAGCACCACAGGATGTCCTTTTCCTCATTCCTCAAGGATAGAATGACTCTGTGTTACTGTTTCTCATGTGTGTGTTTCTATTAGCATTTTTAATAACAGCGTGTTTCAAATGCATCAATAGTCTGTGATTTGTGTCAGTAGATGCCTTGTTTATGTACGTATTTGATGTAACATAGTCTGATTGATTGCTTAGTTACTGTACAACTACACTTCAATACTGCACTAGTAATAAAATATATAAAAAACATAAAAGGCCCTCAAACTGAATTCTCTAACAAAACTTTTTGAGATTTCAGACAAGGGTGCTCGACTATGATTGCTCTGTAGTAGCAGCAGTAACACTATTAGAGGTGTATTCTTGAATTTAGCATATAGCTAGGATGTTCCATGGTGTAAATACTGTTTTAAAAGAAAGAAAAGTCAAATTTAACTCGGCCAAAACTCACTCCAAAAACAATCTCTTTAAGGATAATTCCAATGTATTACTTGTTATAAAGTCACTGC